TAATAATTTTCTCATGAAACTTATGCTTGGGCATTCTAACACTTGGAGTATCCAAAAAACTGTCTCTGCATTCTGTAGCACCTCATACTTCTGTGCCCGGCCTTGGGGATGCCCTGGAGGTAGAAGTTGTCGCCCAGCTCGTATCTAATAATATTCTCATGAAACTTATGCTTGGGCATTTTAACACTTGGAGTATCCAAAAAACTGTGTCTGCATTCTGTAGCACTTCATACTTCTCCTGTCAGTGATGTTGAAATAAAGCAGTTCAAGGCTGAGAGTTTTATTTTCGGTTTGTGATTTTTTTTCGCCCCAGGCCAAGATGGCCGAATTTCGGCCATTTTCAAAAAAATGGGCGAAATTAACCGAAATTTGGCTAAAAATTGCCAAATTTAACCAAAACCTATTTTTTCAGCCGAAAGGTACTTAACGCCCGATGGCTGAAATTCGGCCGAAATCCGTTTTTTCGGCCGAAAATCAAAACATAGGGCTGTACAAGCCTACAACCCTCTTGTGAAACCAAAGCAAAATAAACCTGCAAACAACCAGGCAGATTTAATTAGTCATTAAATAAAATAACCTTACATAGTTACATGTCAAATGTGTATATCTTACTCTGAAAACATCTTTAAAGGTTGATTTGCCGTCATGTACAAACTGTGCACCAACATAGAAACAAAGAGCATATGTGAGATGCAACCTTTAAGTTTGAGAAGCTGAATCTGAGGCCCCCAAACATTCCACTTCGAATTCCCTGTTTAATTGAAGCCTGCCATTTTTTGCTATTCAAGTATTCATTGTAATTATTCTCTTTTCTGCCCAGAAAGATGGTACAATTTCTTTACTGCTAATTGCTTCAGCTACAACTTGACCTGCATCTTCATGCATCACCTGCAGCAATCCTTTGTTGTAGGCGAGATTATTTGTAACTCACTTTAGAAGAACCACATTATGTTGATGACAAGCTTCGAATATGTGACTAGTAAAATGATAACTGTATGGTCTCTGGAAAAGTGCACGTCTTCATTTCCTTAATGTGAAAAATATCAGGAATTATTTTCTGTTTGTTTAGTTAAAAACAATTATTCAAAACAGGGTTTACTCCGATATCACCTTAGCATCTTCACTGAACCTTTTCAAAGAACTTCACTTGAATATAAATCCGCAAACCCAGAAAAGGAACCACACATGAGGATCAGCTTAAGTTTCCAGCCAGCAGCAAATGCTACGGCGAAGCAAGAAATAAATGTATTGTTCACTGCACTATGGCCAAGTTATCTCCTACTGTGACACCCCAAAGAAATTTGGCCTTGTTTTAATAAATTAAAATTTTTCCAGGAATTAAAACTTTGGATTTCTGAGCTCCATTTTGATTTTTAAATCATTTCTTTCCCTGTTATGATGAGTTTTTCCCAGAGAGAAAACTTTTCAAATATGTTATTGGACTTGTTTAACCTCTCAAAAAAAACTTTCCTTCTATCAGTGTAACTAATTAAATAATTAAGTTGCTTGATCTTTATTTTTCTTGAAAATGGTTTTTCAAGGTTATATGGCCATTTTTGCACTGCAACCATTTGATATATTATTCTAAAAATCCAACCAAAGTTTGGAGATATCATGTGATGTCTCTAAATCACTTTTGTGCAATAATATAT